ATATCGAGGTACAATAACATAATAATAATAGGGAAGCAACCATTGAGCAGCTTTAAATACTGAAAAATAAAAACAATACTATTAGATAGTTTTTAATTTATTCTTTTTAATATATAAATATTCTGAATTTTTCAATCTTTTAAGTTAGATAATGTATTTTATGTTTATACTTAGATTAGAAGTTTATTTCATTTAAATTCATCAAAACAGAATCTATTTAGAATTGTTATTGAATTGATAAAGAATTATTTAATTTGTAAAGATAATAAGATCTTTAAAGTTCTAAATATTTAATCTAAATAAATGAAATGGAATCCAAATACTATACCAAAAAAGTGAGCCATTCTAATCGCTTTTTTGTAATGTATTGAATTACATTAGAGAAATCTGATGGAGAGTTTTATAAGAATGATTATGAAATACTTTAAATGAGCTTCTTAGTTTTCTATTAAAGATTATTTATGTTTAAACACTTAATTTAACATTTGTCTAGATTATAGCTTTTTTAACTTGCAATTTGGAAAGCTTTTAAAATTTGCTAATTAACTAAAATGATGATTTTATCTATGTAACTATCGGCGTTACTTTTGCGATATTATATGCAGTCAGAACTAACCTCATACTATTTACACATTATTATTGTTAAAGTACAATTTATGATCTTATTTAAATCAAAGCTCTTTTTTTTATGCAATATCTACCCAAGTTAATTAACAATTTAATTTAATCATTTTTCTCAAAATATTTTGTACTAGGTCATGTATTTCTGAGCATAATTGATTATTTGTTTTTTTTAGATTTTATTTCACCTGGCTCCACAATTTTTTAATTGGATTGAATTATGGTGAATAAAAAGGGAAGAATTTATGTTGCACTTCTTTAAGCAGATTAGAAAATTTTTTTTTACATTTACTGATGAGAGAGTTGTAATATACTCTTCCTTTTTATAATATATTTTAGAGATTTTAATAAATTCAATAAATATCAGCAATAAATATTAGAATATTTTGTTCCAATAACTAACTGATATAGCTACTAAAATTGAAATACTCTCATTTATATTACGTATTTGATTAATATGCTTTCATAAAATATACTACTGACAATCTATAGATAATTTTTCTTTCTGCGTTTTATTCGTTAATATTTCAACTTGTTATTTTTTCCATCTAATCATTGATATTATTTAATTAACATTATATATTATTAAATATATTTTGATCATAATAGCCTCTGTTCTTTTAAATTTGGAGCTGAACACTTGACTATTTTCATGTTTGTGAAAATTGAGGTTTAGCCTATTCTTAGATATTACAACTAAGTTTTCTAATTGCTCGCTTTCAGCCGATTTGTTTGTCAATAATTGTTAAAATTTTATATTTTCTTTTCTTACCCAGTTTATTTCTAAGTTCTATCTATTCTGGAGTTCTTTTAAATAACTTTAAGATATTATTTCAACCTAATCTGTTGTTGAGTTTTTAGAACACTAATTTGAATTATTAATTAATAAGTACTCTAATTCATTTTTTTAATGGATAAAACTTTATTGTAATCTTTAAGATTTTAGAAGACAACACTTTATTTATTCAAAGTGTATAATAAATTTAAGAACCATCCTTTATCAGGGATTTTTTTATGGCTAAAACCAAATTCTATGTCTTTCTACTTTTTTATAATTGTTAATTCTTCAAATATTTATCTCCTTGTAACCTTTGTTAATGCAGATGGCAAGTTTACTTCAGAACTCTAAATTGTAAAACAGTTCCAGAAAGCGGCAGTTAGTAAGTATCGGTGCTTATGTAAATTTAGGCAAATTATATATTTTTAAAGCTAAGGTATTATATATTGATTATAAAGAACAAGCTATTCGGTTAGCTTCATTCAATGATATTAACTATCCTAAAAATATTATAAACTGGTTTAACAATATTATGTAAGTAATAGCATAATTAAATTTTACCGGAGATTATAATAAAGTTTTAAATTTCGATTATTTGGATGAATTTTTTTTAATTGATACCTTAATTCAAATAAAATATTGAGTTCTGAAGTTAAATTCAAAATGACTTATCATTTTTAGATGAATTCTACAACATTCCAAATTAAAATTATAAAAATTTTAGCTATATATATATTTTGGAATAAAACTATAGAATTAGATATGAAATAAAATATTTTTAATTAAAATAATAGTGAAATGATATTAAGAAATGCAATTTCAATAAAATAAAAATATCTAAACTAGATTCCTTGCAAAAACGAACTCAGTGTTATAATAAATTTAATAGAATTTTCAAAAAATACTAATAAATGTATTTCAATACTTAATTTCTGTCAATATGTTTGGATTTGCAGATTACTGCATTAGATTAAGTTCTTAAGTTTATTTTTTTTAACAGTAGGCTTGAACCTTGTTGTAGAATTTAATTGAGCATCTTACTAGAGGACCCATTAATCCAATCATTAAAAGCCCAATTTAAATGAAGCCTAAAATAAAATATTTATTAGCTGTTAAAAATTTGTAAAATTCATTGCAATAAGCTAAACTTAAAAGAGTAAATATCATTACTGGTACCTCTTACCAAATTACATTAAATAATTCAGATTTCTGGTAAATAAGCTAAACTGTATTAATAAAAAATAAATAGATAAATAGTAAAACAGTAAACATTATACACTAAGTAATTGGTTAATTTTATATTCCAATAAGAATCATAAGAAAGATGAATTTTTTAAATAATACAATAGCTTCATATTATTTATTTCTAATTTTTTGCAATTACATGTTGAAAGCTTATCCTCTAAAGTATTAAATTAAAAAAAAGATGACAAAAATTAAATACCCAAAGCTGATAATATAAGAAAAAAATGATCTTACTGTTTTTTCTTTGTTAGAAATTAAATATAATAAAATCTTGAATAATAAATTCCAACTATTTGCTAAAAATAGACTAGAGAAAAAAATTTTGCTGATAAGTGATGGCTTTTTTATTAGAATTTTTGTCCAAGTAAATATTAGAATAGCTTTTTTTTTAAAATCTTTGATTCACTTAAACTAATGTAGTTTAAATATCTTAATAGATTATGTGAATTAAATATTGGTATTTTATATATCTTAGAAATATATCAATCAGAATTATTAGTAACACTTAAATAAATAATCCATAAATATTATTGAGTAGATCTGCATTGATATCATAATATTAACATTTTCCTATGCTTTCACAGTAATGAAAATCAAATGCATAATCAAATAAATCTAACAAATATATTTATTTCAAATAAGGCTTTATACTTACAAAATTAGATGATTCAAAGTAGATTTCAACATTTTGAGGGAAAGGTACGTTTATAAATTTCAGATTTGATTGAAATTATAATATATCTAAAATTTCTGTAAAATTTTTAAAATCTCCTAAAATTAGCATAATAAATCCACATATGCATAATGCAATCAACATCCAAAAGCTTAAACTTTTTAGATTAAATGCTGTTTATATTTACGATTTTGTTAAAATTCTTGGTTGTTAGAGTGAAATCTTTTATTCATTATTAACAATTGGGAAATAGTTTAGATCAATTAAATCATCTTTGAATGAAACCCGTAAAATTGGTTAAAAGTTAAATGAGTTAAAAAACTTGATTTAAAAGATAAATGATAGGTCTAAAAGATCAAAATCCTCAATGTTTGATACTTAAAATATTGTTAACTCATATTGATTGGAACTCAAGTTATCTATTTTGTATGTAATTTCTTTTGTATAATTCTCAATTATATTATTGAAAATTAATTTATTAGTAAATGACAATTATACATACTCGATAGACTAAGTATTATTCAAATAAAATAGTTTATATGATGTTTGAGGATAGCAATAGCTTGTATTATCAATGCTTTTACAATTCCATTAATTTTCAACTTTACAAGTACTAGAGCATCCATCTAAATTAATTGAATTAAAATCATCACAAGATTCATTATTTTATATAATTCCATCACCACAGAATTCTATAGATTTAAATTCATCATTACAGTCTTGATTTTGAATCTCTTCTTCAACTACTTTTTCACAAAAGTTATCATTAATCTAATATCCTAAATTGCATTTTTCGCATCCTCCTAATTAACATACTTCGCAATTTTGAATGCATGACAATTTACATTAATAACATCCATCGCAAGGTAGGTTATTACCATCCTCACAGTCTTCTAAACTATTTATCACAATTCCATCTCCACAGATTGGAATACATGAATTATCTACTAAGGTAAAAAATTCTTAGCATTATAAACATGTATTTTTGTCTGAACAAAAAAAACAATATGGTATACATTCAAATAAGCATTAATAGCAACCATCTATTTCATTAAAATTTCCATCATCACATAATTCTATGGAATTTATAGCAATTAAACCATCTCCACAAATTTAATGACATTAATTATTTTAAAGTTGCCATCCATTGCATTAGTAACAAGTATTATTAATGCATAATTTGCACTCTAATTAACAACTTTTTTAGCATTTTAAATTTCTATCTATTTGGGTTTGATCATCAAAAATTTCAAAAAAGAAATTTATAGTGTCATCACAAAATGGTAAACATTATTTTTTATTTAAAGATAAAGAATAATTTACATTACATTCCAGACAATTACCAAATTGGCAAGTTTTACAATTATGAGGGCAAGAATATTTACATAAATGGCAACCATCATAAGGTACATTATTCCCATCATCACATTCTTCAAAATGAGTAATTAATGAATCTCCACAAATTGGAATACATATTTTTTCTAGTTCATTATATTCCCAACCTGTTTTACAATCTAAGCATGTTCCTCTAATACAATTACTACAACCTTCAATGCAATCAAACATTTATGAAAAGCATCCATCAAATGGTACTAAATTATCATCTTTGCAGATGAATTCAAATAAAGAAGATTTTAGAAAGAGTTGAAAATCTCGTATTGCAAAAAATAATAGCAAACTAGGATTATTTTTGGATAATATAAGTGAAATAGTTATTTTAGCTTGAGAATGTATATGTGGATATTAATGGATATTGAATATTTTTATAGATTTGTACCCAAAACCATTAGGGTAATTTATCCAACCACCTGTATATTAAATAGTTGATACTATGATATCATCAATTGCAATATTAATTTATGTAGGGTTTGAGTTATAGACTAATACTTTTACTTATAAACTAATTGCTTAATGTTGGTTTAACTTTATTTCATTTATTAAATGATTTCCATATGTTTCAAGATAACGAGCCTCTAACATAAAAATAATTTTTACAAAGGTATGTGATAACTGAAGTTTGAATTACATTATTTGTCAACCAGCCTTCAGAGGAATTAACAACATTTTCCCAATTCAAAGTAAAAAAATAGAGGTATTAATCAAAACATTAATTTTCACTGCAAGATTAGCAATCTTCTGGACACAATTTAGCTTCTAGAATCATTTAAGATATTCCCCAAATTCCCTTTTTAACACCAAATATAACTGTAATAGCAGGTATTGTATGAGGAATAGTAATTGACATTGGAAATATTTCTTCATTGTAGACTGAACTTCCACAAATATTTTAATTACTTGTTGTGTGAGAAAATTAACTTGAATACATTTTATGATAATCCAAGTAAACATAAAAGTCATCATAATTCCAATAATCAATTCTATTATTATTATGGATGTATTACCTCCAAAAATTAAATGAAAGAATGATTTAATATGGGGCTCTAATCGGATGGTTTTGAAAACAATTTGATTGTAATTAGTAAGAGAGCATTAATTTATAGATAATATAGTTTCTGTGCCACATTATTCAAATTAAAATTTGCAGCAAGGGCAAGTTGTATCCGATTTTAACTCATTTAAATCTGAAATATTTCAATTAATACTTTAGTCTTAATTGCTTATCCAAAATTAACTTTAAAAGCGTGCATGAGATAAGTCAAATATGATGACGAATATAGATAGCTTAAATATTAATGGTATGCACCAATTTATCATTTATTTAATTTAATTTAAAAATTCCTTTAAATCATTAAGAATAGATAAACTTAAATTAGGAAAAATAAATCTAGCTAGAAAGATGTTATAATTTTGTCTTAAAAATCATAAAAGTATTTGCCAATACATATATTACTTCAAAAATTTTGATTACGTAATTTAATTCCTAAAATGATGTATTTCATTTTTTTGCAAATTATTTTATATCAATCAATTATTCAAATATGATCTTTATTGTTCAGAATTATCCTTTTTTTTGATTGAATAATATTCAATATGCATGTAACTATTGTATATTCATAATTTCAGTTAATTCACTCACTTTGAATCAACTCTCTTTCAAAAAAATGAATTATCAATCTTATAGTATAAATGAATAAAAAAGAATTAAAAAAAAACAAAATTAAAGAAAGAAGAATATTTGATATAAATATCGATAATCAAAAAGTGTGTTANATTAAATAGTTGATACTATGATATCATCAATTGCAATATTAATTTATGTAGGGTTTGAGTTATAGACTAATACTTTTACTTATAAACTAATTGCTTAATGTTGGTTTAACTTTATTTCATTTATTAAATGATTTCCATATGTTTCAAGATAACGAGCCTCTAACATAAAAATAATTTTTACAAAGGTATGTGATAACTGAAGTTTGAATTACATTATTTGTCAACCAGCCTTCAGAGGAATTAACAACATTTTCCCAATTCAAAGTAAAAAAATAGAGGTATTAATCAAAACATTAATTTTCACTGCAAGATTAGCAATCTTCTGGACACAATTTAGCTTCTAGAATCATTTAAGATATTCCCCAAATTCCCTTTTTAACACCAAATATAACTGTAATAGCAGGTATTGTATGAGGAATAGTAATTGACATTGGAAATATTTCTTCATTGTAGACTGAACTTCCACAAATATTTTAATTACTTGTTGTGTGAGAAAATTAACTTGAATACATTTTATGATAATCCAAGTAAACATAAAAGTCATCATAATTCCAATAATCAATTCTATTATTATTATGGATGTATTACCTCCAAAAATTAAATGAAAGAATGATTTAATATGGGGCTCTAATCGGATGGTTTTGAAAACAATTTGATTGTAATTAGTAAGAGAGCATTAATTTATAGATAATATAGTTTCTGTGCCACATTATTCAAATTAAAATTTGCAGCAAGGGCAAGTTGTATCCGATTTTAACTCATTTAAATCTGAAATATTTCAATTAATACTTTAGTCTTAATTGCTTATCCAAAATTAACTTTAAAAGCGTGCATGAGATAAGTCAAATATGATGACGAATATAGATAGCTTAAATATTAATGGTATGCACCAATTTATCATTTATTTAATTTAATTTAAAAATTCCTTTAAATCATTAAGAATAGATAAACTTAAATTAGGAAAAATAAATCTAGCTAGAAAGATGTTATAATTTTGTCTTAAAAATCATAAAAGTATTTGCCAATACATATATTACTTCAAAAATTTTGATTACGTAATTTAATTCCTAAAATGATGTATTTCATTTTTTTGCAAATTATTTTATATCAATCAATTATTCAAATATGATCTTTATTGTTCAGAATTATCCTTTTTTTTGATTGAATAATATTCAATATGCATGTAACTATTGTATATTCATAATTTCAGTTAATTCACTCACTTTGAATCAACTCTCTTTCAAAAAAATGAATTATCAATCTTATAGTATAAATGAATAAAAAAGAATTAAAAAAAAACAAAATTAAAGAAAGAAGAATATTTGATATAAATATCGATAATCAAAAAGTGTGTTAACTTATTTTTCAATCAACATCATAATTTAAAATATCAAACTGTTGTTGATTACTTTAACAACCAAAAAGAAGGTTGAATTACATAAGTATTGTAGGAATTAATAGAAACGAATTAGAATGTTTTAATTGAAACTATTTCATTAAAAGTGAATAGGATTGATATTATGTTATATTAAAATAAAATTCCCCTTTATTTTTTCTTTAAATTATTCAATGAAATTTTTACAATAGTTTTAGAAAAGCAATATAATATGGCTCATTCTAAAAGGAATTTTTTTAACCATAAATTCTGGAAATTTAAAATATGTCAATTAAGAAAGGTATAAATACATTAATTTTAATGATTTAATAAATATCAAAGGTATTAATTAGATGATATATAAATTACCTACATTTAATAATTTTAATAAGAGGTGGATTGTTTCCTATAAAAAACCTCCCTATACTTTTCTAAAGGAAAACTTCAACAATCCTACTTAATATAAGTGTAATTTGAAAATAAAAAAATGATTATTTCTTGAATAAATTGTTAGGATTTTTCTTGTTGACAAATAGAATAATCTGAATCTATTTGATAAAATATGAATTACCTAACTCAAAATAGAATTAGACTATAGCATAAAAATATATAATTGAATATCAATTTTATCATTAATGACAATATGAAAAGATGGCATCATTTCAAAACACCCCAATAGGATCTATGAGAAACTTGTATTTTTATAGAACTAAGTATATTTCAGAAAGGAAGTAGCCAAATTCAATTTATCCTTCTTTTAGATCATTTAGAATGGCTTCATGATTCCAAAAATAATCGGATGTGATTACATCTGATATTTTATTGATAAATCTTAGTTTTAGAATTTTTGAGATTTTCCAATTAAATATATAATAACTTATTATTTTCTTATTGGATTGTAAATTCCTTTGAGATTTCTTCAATTATTCTAGTATTGACTATAAAAGTGTTAAAAATTAAGTATTTGCAAAAATAAGCTAATTCTGAAGCTAAAAAAATTCAAAATATTTATAATCTGTTTAATTTGAATATATTTGGCCAATATATAGAAAAATAATAAATTTGATGATAAACTTGGTTTTTTATTTTTATGCATTTTATGCAATTATCTACATATTTATTAAGATATAAGAAATTCTTTTTTCCCATTAAATTAAAACTACTCTAAGGTTATTTTAGGAAATAATACATTTAAGATGTAGAATTTTTAAACTCTTTTTTTAATTTTAATTATTAATGAAGAGCGGACTAACAATGATAATTTTCTTGATATTAATTTAGATCATCAAATAGGATTGCACTATTTAACAAAACTACCTAATTATCATATTTAAGAGAAGTCACTAGCAGGAGCATTGATTTCATCAAAAAAAAAGATAATTTCTTTAATGAAGGGAATAATGGGTCTTGTTTAAGAGATAGTCTATATAAAATGATGTCTAAAGGAAACTCTATACTGGCTGTGTGTTAGGGAAATAAATTTCCATAAAAATACTCTAAAAACATTTATTGAATACATTAAATATTTGGTTTTTGGAAGATGGCTTTCTTGATCAAGAAGGAGTTAGGTATTATGATATAATTATTTATGCTAAATTAGATTAAAAAAATAACATTTATGAGATTAAATAAAAATTTTAGCAACAAGCCTAATGACCATAGAATTTCCAGACTAATTTTTTGATGAATTTTAAGTAGTAAATGTTGGAGGGAATATAGGTTAATAAATAAAGGCAATTATCGATTAATAAAATATATAAAAATAATAAATAAGCAGAATTACTATATCTTTGACATAATTTCGACTACTAACATCAATTCCATTCTATATCAATAAAATTCCTTCAAATAGATTAAAAATCATTTTATACAATCTATAGAAACCAGAAAAAATTATTTTAAATTTAACCCATTCTTTCTTATTTAATCATAGATGAATAAATATAAATATAATAATTTAAATGTTCACACTAGAATATAATAGTTCAAAATGAAAACATTCCTATATATTTATTTTATTACTATTGTTAATTTGATTAATTTGTAGTTAATCTTTTCATAATTTAATTTTCAAATATTTCAATAAATTTATTTAAGAAATATACTCTCAAGAACTAATTCTAATTGATATTAAACTTTAATCAGTTTTTTATATATTTAAATACATAATCTATTGTTGATATTCAAAAAATAAGTATAAAAATGATTAAAGGGTTCCTTATCAGCCCAAAATTTAATGAATATTTTAAAGAAAATGTCTATGTTATGATCTTCTCAAATTATCTGACTATACAATTAAGTTTACAGTAAAATAAAATATATATAAGAGAGTTAAGATTGATTATTAAACATTTAATGAATGAATATAAAAAGTGTCCTGAATACATTAGATTATTAAATTAAATTAAATTTAATGGTTGATATTTAGATTTATGACAATATTGTCAAGTAATGCTGTTTTGAGAATACACTTAAGATTATTATCATTTTTAAGTTAAAAATCAAACATTTGATTATTAAAAAATCAGCTCTCTTCCTTAAAATAAACCTTGACTCAATATATAATAACATAATTTTAAACCCTCAAAGAATATCACTTTAAATTAATAACTGAATATATTTAGGGCAATTAAACTTAATATGGTTTGATAATAAAACCTACATAAGTGTTCAATTTAAAAATAAATTCTATCACACTATTATGTTTATAAGAAAACTATTTATTTATAATAATAATAGATTAAAAACCCCTAAAATTGTTCATAATTAAATATCTAAAATATATTTAGGATGATGTTCAAGTTAAAAAACTGAAATACTATATTATATGGTGATATTTCTGTAAAAGGAATTTTGAGGAAAAGGGTAATCAAATATTTTCTATTTAAGATTAAGAATTGAGCAATAAAATTGTCAAATTTTTTTAAAGTAATTAATTATACATGAGTGATTTAGAGTGATGAAAAAAAATCCAATTAGAGCAAACTCATACTTCAATATTATAAATATGAGAATTTGAATCAACAATATATAACAGTCAAAAATATAAAGATAATGAAATTGTTCCAGATTGATTTGTCACTTAATAATAAATAGTGGATTTAAATTTATTTTTTACTATAAAGCATCCAAAATAAGAATTCTTATTGAAAAATAATTTATTTATAAAATTCTAATAACTCTCAATTTATATTNCCTATATATTTATTTTATTACTATTGTTAATTTGATTAATTTGTAGTTAATCTTTTCATAATTTAATTTTCAAATATTTCAATAAATTTATTTAAGAAATATACTCTCAAGAACTAATTCTAATTGATATTAAACTTTAATCAGTTTTTTATATATTTAAATACATAATCTATTGTTGATATTCAAAAAATAAGTATAAAAATGATTAAAGGGTTCCTTATCAGCCCAAAATTTAATGAATATTTTAAAGAAAATGTCTATGTTATGATCTTCTCAAATTATCTGACTATACAATTAAGTTTACAGTAAAATAAAATATATATAAGAGAGTTAAGATTGATTATTAAACATTTAATGAATGAATATAAAAAGTGTCCTGAATACATTAGATTATTAAATTAAATTAAATTTAATGGTTGATATTTAGATTTATGACAATATTGTCAAGTAATGCTGTTTTGAGAATACACTTAAGATTATTATCATTTTTAAGTTAAAAATCAAACATTTGATTATTAAAAAATCAGCTCTCTTCCTTAAAATAAACCTTGACTCAATATATAATAACATAATTTTAAACCCTCAAAGAATATCACTTTAAATTAATAACTGAATATATTTAGGGCAATTAAACTTAATATGGTTTGATAATAAAACCTACATAAGTGTTCAATTTAAAAATAAATTCTATCACACTATTATGTTTATAAGAAAACTATTTATTTATAATAATAATAGATTAAAAACCCCTAAAATTGTTCATAATTAAATATCTAAAATATATTTAGGATGATGTTCAAGTTAAAAAACTGAAATACTATATTATATGGTGATATTTCTGTAAAAGGAATTTTGAGGAAAAGGGTAATCAAATATTTTCTATTTAAGATTAAGAATTGAGCAATAAAATTGTCAAATTTTTTTAAAGTAATTAATTATACATGAGTGATTTAGAGTGATGAAAAAAAATCCAATTAGAGCAAACTCATACTTCAATATTATAAATATGAGAATTTGAATCAACAATATATAACAGTCAAAAATATAAAGATAATGAAATTGTTCCAGATTGATTTGTCACTTAATAATAAATAGTGGATTTAAATTTATTTTTTACTATAAAGCATCCAAAATAAGAATTCTTATTGAAAAATAATTTATTTATAAAATTCTAATAACTCTCAATTTATATTCCCTATTTTTATTGAATCTTACTATAGTAATGCATATTAACTATATAAAGACAATCAGCTATATATTTTGATAGTAGTTAATAAGTTATATATTGATTCCCCTTATCTTTTTTTAATTTCTATTAAAAATAATTTCTCTTCTCATTTAACATAATTATTAAATTTATCCATTTCAAGAAGCATTCTTAATTTTGATAATTAAAGGAGAATTAGACATTAAATACACAACAATTTAATGTTCTTTTTTATACAAATCAATCCACTTGTTTATTATTAAAATGAGAAAATGATTGCTCTTCATTAGCTCCCATAATTCTTTATAAAATTATACTTTGCTTATATATATAGATATCATTAATATTCATTTTAGTATATAAGTAATCTTTTGTGAAAAAATTTTGATAAAATCAAAGTTGCTGTATTTTTATTCAAGTTTTTGAAAATAGAGCATCCTGAATACTGCTTTTTCTTAATATATATAGTCAGAAAAACTTACAAAAATTGATTAATATTATTAAAAATTGCATTTATTATTAATGTTAGGATTGCAGTATTACTCTTACTAATATTATTCTTATTAGGACTTGTAACAATTAAAAGAAATACTTACATATGATTCAATTGGTGAGATCAAATTTTATGAAGATGAGAAAGTTATTGAATACAAAATAAATAGAAAAAATTGTATACTGTTAAGCGATTTAATAGAATTAATAGTAATTGTTAAGTTTTATTTTTAGAAAATTGGGTTTATAAGATTTCATTTAGGATAGTTACTATAGCTTTTTATTAATTTATTAGAGAAAGTGAAGGTCATGCATTTGAAAAAAATAGAACACTTATATTTAAGTTTAGATCGTATTTGGTTGAAATTAGAAAATAATCAATATCTCACTATTTTATATAAACCAATTAAGTATGATATTGCTTTTACAGGATATAAAAATATATTTCATGAAAATTTATCACAATAGGAATGTGCTGACTCCGAAAATATACACAACATTATTTCAAACATAATCAACACTTTTAAAACTGAAAACATTTTTTGTAATAAAAATGGCAGCTCAAAAAATGAGATTATAAATAAGATTTATAATGTTATTCTTAAATCATGCTAAAAGTAAGATCTATAAGAAACTATTAATACAATTGATTAGTTGCTTAAAAATAATTAATTTAACCATAAATAATAAACAATTTAATTTGATGATAAATTAAAGTACTACTCAAAGAGATAACATTAACAAGGTAAAATTAAGGATAAATTATAATTTTTGATTACCAAATATGATAAAAATCCTTTACTTTTGGATTTATTTTTGTTTGAAAAAATTAGTGAAATGAGAGAAAACTTGAAGAATTGGTAAAGCAGAGATTTCAATGAGATTTAGGAATAACGATAATATTAAAGATTGTTTAAAAAATACGAATAAAAATAGTAATAATTATAAGAAGTTGCTTCTAAAAATATTAACACTTTGATTGATGGTTATTAGAAAGTAAAATTTGAACCTTATTTTAAATTTTAAATGGAATAGTCTCTAATAAAAAACACAATTGAATAAATAATGAAATCTAAAATTTTTAAATATTTTGAAAATTCCAGACAAATATATCATAGTAATACTATAGATTTTCAAAAATATTTAGTAATTAATACTGCAATTCCAATCATAAATAATTTAATTGATGATTTTATCAGACTCTAAGTTCTGATGCTGATTAATGATTTAATTTGAAATAGTAGTTATAAATACAATTAATTCATTATATATATATTAATAAATATAATCTAAAAATTAATCAATCTCTTTGACTAAATTAATCCAATTATTTAAGATCAAAAGACTGTTTTTATTTAAGGTTATTAATTAATTCATATATTTCTCAAAAGAGAACTTAAAATTAATATAATTTAACTCTTCTATTGTTGAAGCCTTTTCCTAACATATATATGTATAAGAGATTAAAAAAATATACTTCAAAAAAAAAAGCTTAATTGGAAAATTAATTCCATAATTTTTTTAAATATTATCTCATAAATTCAATTTCAATTAAATCCAAATTAATATTATTTCTACATATGATGATATGAATAATTCTAAGAAAAATGTGAACCAAAATATCAGCATTCATTAATTTAAGGTATGATATAATATGAGAGTTAGATATTACTAGAATTCTAAATTTCCTAACTAATGATGGAAACTTTATTAGAGATTTCCTAAAATTGCTACACAAGAAATAATGATAATGAGAATCATCTTACAAAATAATATTTGGTAAGAATGATTATATGATAAAATCAAGTAATTGTGTTATTTATTTACGATTCAGTAAAGTTATTCATTAAATGTTCAATCCTGAACTTATTTTGTATTTGTCCTCATTCAATCAACACTTTCTTATTTTATTTTGAATGGGCCTCTTATTTCATTTAAAATCTTCTGATTAGATAGTTTTATTATTATTAATGATAAAAAATAGAATATTATATATATAAAATTAAGAAAATTTTAATTGTCTTTTAATATCAGTTAAAATTACTTAATTATAATTATCTTATTTCAGATTATTTTGGACTGTGAATAATGATATACTCTCCATAATTACTTATGCTAAATTTTTTTGAAAAGCAACCAACTGGATTACCAGGAAAATATGCAGAAATAAAATATTTATTCTCTTCTATTCCAACAATAGATTAAATTTGATTAAAATCAATCATAATATCATTTTATCTAATAGTTATTTGTTAGATTTTAGTATTTTGGCTATCATTCTCGAATTAATTATTATTTATATTAAATTTATAAGACTTTAGATTCCTTTTTGGATCTGTAATAATAATAACTTTATGCTCGCTAATACAACAAATTGAATTAAGCATCATTATTGGAATTGATTGTATCTACTCCCAAGTGTCTTGAATCTCATTTTATTTTTTTTAATAAATAGATAGTAGACCATCTCCATCTTTCCAGAAATCAGTTTTACAAATTAATGTATTTCTATATTCTAATATTTGTACACTTGAGCAATATGAATAGAATTTTTTATACCAAATAAATTTCCAAGTTGAATTTTATTTTTGAAAGATTAAAATATCATCTCCATACTCTATTAATAAATCTTCATTTTTATTCATAAGAAATTATTGGAATCTACCACGTTGAAAACTATTTTCTATAGTTAATATCTTATAATTATTCATTCCTACAAATGATGATATACATTTCTTATTTTAATTCATAAAAATGAATTAATCTTACATCTTCATACTATATAGTGCTCCTATTTTATTTCCATAAAGAGTTAAAATTTATTTTAGATGAGCATTTTGAAACTAAAACACTTTAATTTAGGTATCAGTTGACAATAATAATAGATTAGATGTTTTATTAAAAGTTGAATTCAACCATTTTTAGGAATTTGCCTCATTAATTATGCATATTTATTTATAATTCAATATTAGTTCATTATGATCCTAATTAACTAATTCTTTTTGTTATTTCCATTAAAAGGGAGACATTAACTTATGAAGAAAATTGATCATCAAGTATAATAAACTTTAAAGATTAATTAAATCAATTTAATTTTTAGAATTAATAAGATGTGAATGCATTTGTTCTTTAGATTCAGATAATTTAGAATAAATCATTAAAACAATATAATTTTTGTTTTCACCCCAATTAGTCAAAAATAGATTTGGTATAAATTACTTTAATATGTAGTTCCAGTTTATTTTCACTTTTATTTTTGGATTCTTTATTATATTTCAAATTACTTTTATTACCAGCATTAGTTTTATCAATTAAAAATTCTTAATCTAATTAGGTAAATAAAGTTTACTTAATTTTTTTACAAATCAGGCAGAATCATTAACTATTTAATACTCTAATCTTACAAGATCATTTTTTTCTAAATAATCAATATATTAATCAATTGATAATAGTGATCATTTTAATTATGTCTGAAATACTATTATTCCATTAACTTTCATTCTATTATAATATTATTTTGAAACCATAAAATGAATATTCCAATATTTATTTTGTTAATAAACTGTTATTATATTTTCATATTTAATATTAGATCTTCTTTAAATGAGTAAGTCTTACCAAAATGGTTATGATGTTTCAATCATTGTTAAATATTATTTAATACTCTTCAAGCAAGGGGTTAATATTGAAGAAATATCATCAATTACTAAACTTAACATAACCTTATACTCAAAATGCAATTACAAAGTATTTGTATCATAATGATTTAATCTTAAGTATCTCATCATTTATATACAGTTACTAATAGAATTCAAATCCTTTTTCTAAAATTCCTAAGCAAGTATCTATATTTAGTCATTTCTCCTACATAAATCTAATAGAAGGAAATGGATTGTTTTCTTCACTCTTATTTTAATCTACAAATAGTATCAAAATATTCATAAGAGCTAAATTAAGCTACCATTTAAGATAAAGAATATTCTATAGTATCTAATCATTTTCTTATTTGACAGTTTTTAATTAATGGTTTTCAACTGAAGTAAACTTTTGTTTTAAATGTTCCTCTGAATGATAATTACATATTTTCTTGAACACAATTTCATAAATCAAAATATCATAGGTCATAAATCTTCTATTAAATTTATTCAGTAAATCATTTTTTATATTTATTATCGCCATTTCCAATAAAAGATTTGGTTTATTTAATTATTTTAAACATTACCTTCTCAAACAAATTTTCCTTAAATCACTTTCTTTTGATAATTAATTATTTCCTTTACTCCAAAACTATTAAATTTACTTCATTAAGTTTGAGTAACAAAGTTAATTTTGTGAATTTTAAGAAAATGGTATTTCACAATTACAAGCATTTAAGTTAAAATACTATAACTCAGAGATGAAAAAGAGATTAAATTATAAGTTTTATGGTATCTAATACTTTTATGAGAATAGTTTTATTCTAATTTAAGTTATCAAATATTTCAATTACTAACAGAAAATGATCAATGATCTACTAAACTAATATTTAACCAAAAATTAAACCTTGAAAATAATTAATTAATCTAGTAATAAAATTATAATCTTTTACAATAGAAAGCAATAAATTAGTATAAATTATGACTCATATAATAGTAATCCAATAATAGAATTTAGGAAGAAAATTAAGAGTAAATATTTTTCAACCTAGATATCTTCTGTAAAAATGAAAGCTAAAAAGATAATAACAAAATTTTCAATTTTCTAATGGATGAGTTTGATCAGTTTTTATATCTAATTAAATCTCAATCAGAAATTTTATCTTTAAGAAGCTTTAGAACATGACATAAATTTGATAATAAAACATAAAAGAAAAGTAAAATAAATTTATATTTAATAATATAGGATTTAGAAAGTGATAGGAAATAATTTATATTTTTTATAATTAAATGCTTTATTTATCATTTTTGTAAACCATATTTTTACATATCATTTTCTTAGAATTTTTTTTCACATAAAGCTTTAAATTAAACATTATTAATATTTTTTACATTTTTCACACAATAATAATTAAGATATATTTAATAGCTTTATCATAATAATTAATAGCTTCTTAATATCGTTATAATGATTCTAAATAGGCTCCTAAAAATCGAATTATTATGCACCTTTACAGGCTATAGTTGACGATTTAAATTTAATGCTTAAACTAAAATCTTAAGAGCTTCACCATACTTATTCATTGAATATAATGATTCACCTTTATTAAGAAAAAATAGAAACCTTTAGTCTATAATAAATTGATATGTTCTTAATCTATAGACAACACTTTATCAGCCCATATAATTGCATCATTATAATTGTTTAGAATATTTTAAACATTAAGCTATTAAAATTGTCTTAGACTTAGATTTGATACCTTTGATAAATAAACGTTGAAATGATTTGAATTTATCAATAAAGCTTTATCATTCCAAATAATTGCATCATAATAATTACCAAGCATTTTGATAAGCATTAAGCTAATAAATTAAATTCAGATTTTAAACCTTTTGTTCATAAAGAATTCACATGCTTTTAATGAATTGAAAAAGCTTTATCAGCCCAAATAATTGCATCATTGTAATTTCCTAGCATTTTTATAGTTCTAGCATAATCATAAACAAATCAATAAACTATCAGCTAATAAATTTATCTATGTTATATATACCCTTAGTATATAAAGATGACTAATGATTTGGATTAATAAGTAATGTTTTATCTAATTTTATTATTGCTTCTTGAAAATTACCATTTTTATAATGTAAAATTAATCTGATTAAATAATTAAGTATAATTTAAATCCTAAATAAATCCTTATTACCGTTTTAATATATTTTTTCTACTTTTTCTGATTATTATTTAGTTATTTCATAATAATTGAATTCTTCTATTTTTAGTTCTGTGATTTAATTTTTTAATTAAATGGTCATATACTCTAAACTTCTCACTAAATTCTCTTATAGATAATTCCTCATTTTATCATATTTAATCATTTAATTTAAAGCTTAATCCAATCAATCTGAATTTAATTGTAACAATTTCTCTTTAGATGATTGATATTTTTTCTCAATTCTTATTATAATTAATTTGATACTTAATTAATTACCCAAACCATCAAACATAAGTATTAGACTAAGCTTTCACATTCATTTCCAATATTACAAAAAAATTCTATTAATGTATTTACATTATGTTAATCATGTAGATGAGCAATATGATCTCCATACCTCAAACATTTGTGGAAGTACACTCTATTAGCTTTACATTATTTATTAAAGCAAGCCAATTCAATAAAATCATGTTCTTCAACAGAACATTTTATAGCAAGTTCTCTATTCTAATTCATAGACTTTATTAAAATTTATAAATCTATAATAATGTCTTAAATTTAATTATAAATAAAGTTTCCATTCATAATACTAAAATAAATATACTAAAAGAATACATCTAAAAACATAAATAGAAAACACAAAGATATTAAAATATATAAATATTTTTTTTTAAATAGATAAAAACCAATAAAGTGATAGTAAAATTTAAATTCAGAATACAAAATCTCATGTGGATCATACAACAATATTGAACTCTTTAAAAAATAAATTGTTTCAAAATTTAAGTTTAAGGTTAAGAATAATAATATTGACATATTAATATGATTCTCAATAATAGTAATTCATTTCATCGCTAATAATTATTTCAATATTACATTGTCCTTCCTTTATCTAAATCTATTTTTTCCCACACACCAACTTTTTTTTAATTTTAATATTCTCCTCTAAAAATTATTTAATTATGACTAATAATAAAATAAATCTCTAAAACACATACCGATTAAACTCATCATATAATTCAATCCACATTCCTGTTTTTGTTGTAAAATAAGCATCATCATCTCCAATCTATTTATCATATACTCCACCCCCACTTTTTTAAATTTATGACTATTCATATATACATCTAATAAAAATCAAAATTATCCCTAAATAACATATCCCATCTGCCAATTTTGAGACCATCCTAATATATCCCTTTATGAATAACTTGACGATAACTAATTTTAAATATAAAAAAACCCATATATTACCTAGAAAACCAATCATTCAACTCAATCCACATTCCATTCTTTATTGAATTTTCAAAACCATTAAATCCTTATTTATAATCATAAAAACCACCCCCACTTGTTTAAATAAATACCATATTTTACTTACATACATTCAGATTAATCATACTCTATTAATTATATATCCCATCTACCAATTTTTTTACCATTTTAATAATCTCCAATAAAAATGATTTAATTAAAACTATTAAGATAATTAAATCAATTAAAGTACATATTAAACTCTTCACTCATCTCAATCCATCTTCCAATTTTAATTTCACATCCAAAATTATTTTCTTTGTATGATCCACCACCACTGTTAAAAACAATATTTTAATATTCATATACATCTATTAATATTTTTTATTATCACAAATATAAATATCCCATATACCAACTTTCTTACCATTTTAATATTCACCATGATAAATTAATTAACTCAGACTATATATAATTAAATAAATACTCCCAAAAGTTTTAACTCAATTCCATCCATTTCCCGTGCTTTTTACTCTCTTTATTATATGATCCTCCACCACTAAATATTTAATCTTAAAATACATCACTTTCTCTAAAAAAATCCATATCCATTTACCAATTCTCTAATCATTACAGTACTCTCCGATTTCATAGACTTTGCCTCGACTTTTTATTAAAAATTAATAATAAATACATACTTCCAATAATTCTTTTTAATTTCAATCCATAAGCCTTACTTTTTGCCTTACTCTGTGTAATATCCTCCAACTCTCTCAAGTTTTTCACCATGCCAAGTAGCAGTCCATTTGCCATTCTTCTTAAGATTCTGACCATAATTTCCTTACCATTAAAAATATAAGATTTAATCTAAATTATTCATAATTTCAGGATCCACAGAAGTGTCAACAATTTCATCCCTAATTGGCTTTTTTATGCAATATGTACATTCTAATATTTTATCCATTTTATATGTAGATAATGTTATTCTTATTAAATGTAAGAAAGATTTATGTTTTCACAAATCTAAATTATTGAGGATTCCACATGTCACATAGATATTCCTTTATGTTTTCCAACCCTGATTTCAAATTTTGTTATGGCTAGCACGATTGAGCTATATAGTTTTCACAGCAGTTTTGTTATTCATCAGATGTTCCTTCTGTATTTCTTGTTGAGCTTTGATTTAATGAATTCATATATTCTTAAGCAATTAGTATTTAAAATATTAAATACGTTTAATGAATTATCAAAAAGAAATTATTTAAAAAATACAAAATCTCTATTAATATCAATAGCTATGTTATGTTGAAATAGAAATTCATTATTTCTTATAATTAGATTATTATTAAAACAAGGAATAGAGTATTTATGTAAAAATTTTTTTATTATTAATATTTATCTCAGTTAAGAATATAAAATATAAATATATGATTAGATTATATTATATTAAAATAAAATAATAGTAGAAAGTGTTGAGTGTATATTTTTGTATTATTTATTTAAATATATTGTCAATAAGTTTAAATTTATCTGTTTTAAGTATCATTAATTGATATAAAATGAGATAATTTTAATAATTTATGGAGACAATATATTTGACATATAATATTAACTTTATGAAATATTTCAATATTCAAATAAATAAAATCATAATTCTGCAATATTTGGTAAACCCATTGTTTTGTAGAAATATACTTTTCATCAGAATGTGTAAGATATTTATATTGAATAAAAATTTTTACAAACTTTAAATCAAAATGAATTTCGTGTTTAATTAATAAAATATCTTATTACCTAAATTCAAAATTACATTCTAATTCTGATCTTCTACTCATTTAAGTTAAGTATATCTTACAGTGTCAATTAAAAAAAATAAAACATTATTTCGATTTGAAAAAGAATCCTTCAGTAAATTTTTTGCATTTCAAATTGGATATTTAAAATAGTTGTAATTTTTTTACATGAGTTAGAGTATTTAATTGATTTTAATATTTAATTTGTTGATGGATTAAAATTTGCATTTTTACGTTACTTATAAGTATTAAAATTATAATTCAAAAATTTATTTGAATAAAATAATAAACAAAATGATAATCAATTAATAACTTTTAATATATTTAAATAATTTAATATTCTAATACCTATTCTAATATAAAATTTAAATAAATAAAATTGAAGATTTTTTGATAAATGATTACAAGTGATCAATAATAAGAGGTTAATTAATTAGAAAAAGAAAAATAATTTGAAAATAATAAGATTGAAAAATAAACCGATAATATTCAATAATCATTAAGTATGTTGAGGAATATGTAAATCATACTAAATAAGGATCATCATTTAAATGTTGCCAGAATTTTATCATGGGAATTAGATAATTAGAGTTCTATTGAGGTAAAATATGAAACTAATGGATATTCTATGGAAGTCTTCTTATAAAAAAGAAGATCTCCTTTACAAGAAAATTAAATAATCAATATTTTCTCTCAAATTTTACAAGGTTATCATCATCTAAAAAAACTAAATATCATTCACAACAATCTTAAAATTGATAATATTTTCATTAAGTAGATTCATAGGGAAAATACATTTATTGTGATGGTTTATATTTCATTTTAATAATAGATTTCAAATTATATTTAGACTATNAAAATATAAATATATGATTAGATTATATTATATTAAAATAAAATAATAGTAGAAAGTGTTGAGTGTATATTTTTGTATTATTTATTTAAATATATTGTCAATAAGTTTAAATTTATCTGTTTTAAGTATCATTAATTGATATAAAATGAGATAATTTTAATAATTTATGGAGACAATATATTTGACATATAATATTAACTTTATGAAATATTTCAATATTCAAATAAATAAAATCATAATTCTGCAATATTTGGTAAACCCATTGTTTTGTAGAAATATACTTTTCATCAGAATGTGTAAGATATTTATATTGAATAAAAATTTTTACAAACTTTAAATCAAAATGAATTTCGTGTTTAATTAATAAAATATCTTATTACCTAAATTCAAAATTACATTCTAATTCTGATCTTCTACTCATTTAAGTTAAGTATATCTTACAGTGTCAATTAAAAAAAATAAAACATTATTTCGATTTGAAAAAGAATCCTTCAGTAAATTTTTTGCATTTCAAATTGGATATTTAAAATAGTTGTAATTTTTTTACATGAGTTAGAGTATTTAATTGATTTTAATATTTAATTTGTTGATGGATTAAAATTTGCATTTTTACGTTATACTTATAAGTATTAAAATTATAATTCAAAAATTTATTTGAATAAAATAATAAACAAAATGATAATCAATTAATAACTTTTAATATATTTAAATAATTTAATATTCTAATACCTATTCTAATATAAAATTTAAATAAATAAAATTGAAGATTTTTTGATAAATGATTACAAGTGATCAATAATAAGAGGTTAATTAATTAGAAAAAGAAAAATAATTTGAAAATAATAAGATTGAAAAATAAACCGATAATATTCAATAATCATTAAGTATGTTGAGGAATATGTAAATCATACTAAATAAGGATCATCATTTAAATGTTGCCAGAATTTTATCATGGGAATTAGATAATTAGAGTTCTATTGAGGTAAAATATGAAACTAATGGATATTCTATGGAAGTCTTCTTATAAAAAAGAAGATCTCCTTTACAAGAAAATTAAATAATCAATATTTTCTCTCAAATTTTACAAGGTTATCATCATCTAAAAAAACTAAATATCATTCACAACAATCTTAAAATTGATAATATTTTCATTAAGTAGATTCATAGGGAAAATACATTTATTGTGATGGTTTATATTTCATTTTAATAATAGATTTCAAATTATATTTAGACTATAATCAGTGATTTGCCAGAAATATCTATATCACAGAATGCAGAAAATAGCAAGGATATATCTTAATGTAATGAGAAAAGCGAAATTTATTCAGTATATTATTATTGTTTAATATCATTAGTTAGGAATAATATTATAATAATTATGTTATGGAACAAGATTTTAGAATAAATAAGAATTAATTAATTAATCAATAAAATAAATAGAAAATAGTTAAATTTAATCATAGGAAAAACTATTATCAGAAAATTTATCATAATTAATATAAAAAATGATTATTGATGATAATTTGAAAAGAATAAGTTGGAATGAATTAATAACACATTAAGATTTATAACCAACATATTAAATATTGCAATAAAGATATTTTATTGATTTAAATCTTATAAAAAATGAAGAATATTTTTGTACTTTTGATTTGTAAAATGAAAATCTAAATTTATTAACTAAACGTATTGAAACAAATATTTACTAAAATGAGATAGAAGATATTAGATTAATGAAGAGCAAAGGAAAATTTGAAAATATTATAGAATATATAGAAATTATAGAAGAGTATCCTTTTACTTATTTGATAATTGAATATTGGGACTAAAAACTTTATGAATATGCTAATGATAGATAATTTTAATTTACTTAAGCAGAACTTTTGAAATTGTTATAAGAAATCATGAAAGCTTATTTAGAAGTTTAAGCACTAAATTTCGTGTAAGTGAAATTAAACCCATAAAATATAGTAACCAAATGGAATGATAATTATCAAATAACTTTTAAGGTACTATTAATTGACTACATTAATTAATAGATTTTTTTAACAGGATAATTGAAGCTATTTACTTCTGGTAATTAATGTCATATGGGCATGTTTCATTTTGATGCTCCTGAAATTATTCTTGGTTCAACTTTAAATTAATAATCCTATATTTTCTCAGTAAATCATCTGTTATATAAAAGATAGGAGCTATTTTACATTATATTACTTATGGAAAATATGTATACCCTTCCGAATTATAAAATGTTTAAGAGTTAAAGGAATTTTTGAATAATTACAATTAAAAAGGTTTTTTGTGTTTAAAACCTTTTAAATATGTATTATTTATTTATGGATTTAGTTTAATGATTTATATTTGCAATTGATTGATGAAATGTTAATATACTCAGTTCAATCCAGGATTGAATGGGAGAGTTTAACAAAAAAAGTAATATTGATTTTATAGAAATCACATATAATATCTGGTTAAATTAAATAAGTATAAATGAACAAAGAAGAAAAAGAACATTTTTATAAAATTAGTAATTTAGATTAAAGTATTTTATAGCTATGATTTTAAAAAAACCATTAAAAAATAATGATAAGCTCAAATATTTTGATGAATTGTTAGATCTTAATCCTTATAATTAAAGCTTATATTATAAAAAAGGTACTTAAAAACTATTTTTAGGGTACCTTTTATATGGAATGAGATAAATCCTTTAAGCAATAGAATGTTTTGATTAGGCAATAAAAATCAATCCTAAAAAAGAATCAGCTTATAGAATGAAATGTATTTGAGACCAAATAATTATTAGCTTATCTTTTATCAATGATAGGAAGGAATTAAGATTAAATTAAATGTCAAGAAGAATTAATTAAAATTAATCCAAAACTTGATAATTATAGGTCTAAAGGTATTTTACTTCATTTATGTCAAGCTCTTACTTTACGCGAAATGAGTAAGGTTGATGAAGTAATTGAATGTTGTGATGAAGCAATTCAATTAGATCCAAAAGATTAATTTGCATATGAAATGAAAGGTTATATAAATTTGATTTCATTCATTAGCTGTTTTTCTAAAAGATTTATAATTATATGATGAAGCCATATATGCTTATGAATAACTATTTGCAATCTCTCCCAATTCTTGGGATCTTATAGTAATAGGTAGCTTTTATTTTAAATAAACAGCTGACTGCTTACACATCTTAGGAAGATCTGATGAAGCAAATAAAAAGTATGATGAGGCTATCTAATTTGGACCAGATAATCCCTATCATTATTAATCTAAAGGTATTTTAATTGAAGAATTTTAGCAAAATTTTTAAGTAAAATAGGAAAACTAGATGAAGCCATAGATATATTAGATAAAGGTATTGAAACTAATCCAAATAATTTAACTATTTATAGTATTAAAGGTTAAATTGAAAATATATAATTTTAGTGGAGTTTTTAAAAGAATTAGGAAGATAAGAAGATGCAATTAACTGTTTAGATAAAGGTATTAAATAGAATTCAGGAGACATAAAATTCTTATTGTAAAAAGGTATCAAAATAGTAATTAAAATATTTAGCCTAATTTTTACAGTAAATTTAAAAATATTAAGAAGCAATCGAGTATTTTGATTAAGCAATATTAATAAATCCATAAGATACTACTAATTATTTAGACAAAGGTATAAATGAAAATTTAAAAAATATAGCTTTATGTCTAAGATATTTAGATCGATATGATGATGCAATAAAATGTTATGATTGGGCAATATAATTTAATCCACACAAGGATAATTTGTTTATGCAAAAAGGTTATAAAAATATTTGATTTAATCATAGGTGAATTATTAAAAGATATTGGAAGATATAATGAGGCTATTCGATGTTTTAATACTGCATTATAAATTGACTCAAATTTATCTTATTGTTATGTATTGAAAGGTAAATAACTATATGCAATTCTATATATTAGGGTAATGTTTATAGTACTAAGGGAATTACTAAGAAGCATTGAATACTTATAATTCTGCATTGAAAATAGATCCAAATGAATCATGTTATTATGATTACAAGGGTATTATTTGACTCTAAAATTGAGGCAATTGTCTAATGTTGTTGAAACAATATGGAGAAGCAATAAAAGAATTTAATGAGTCTATTTCTATATATAATGGTAATTTTGAAAATTATTACAACATTGGTAATAAATATCTATTAGTCTTTAGCAAAATGCTTACAATTTTAAGGAAAATATGATGAGGCAATAGATTATTACGATAAAGCAATCTAATTAAATTCAATGGGATATTATCATTAAGAAAAAAGTATAAGTTAAATAATATTTATTAGAAAATTGTTTAGAAGAATAAAAGAACTCTCAGAAAGCAAAGCCTTGAGATAAAAATGTGATTAAGTGTTTTGTATAAATTATTATTCATTTGTTTTTATTTTGCAAAATTATTATTTATATGATATTAATTTATTAATATTATTCCTATTATAAAATACTTTTTGAAGATTATTTTGCTCAATATTTAATAATAACACTAAAATCATATAAAATGAATGATAAAAGTTTTATAATTAATAATGATTAATATATAGAATATTTATAATTTTATA